ATGCCGCACGCTGTCAACGCTGTAAACCAAACTGAGACGTCGCTGTCAACAGCATCCCCGTTGATTATAGTCGCTTATTGAATTTGCGCTGTATGCGATCTAAAAACAAAACGGGAACAGTCCTGCCACAGCTTAGAGCGTTGTCAAACACTGGACGGCTTCATAACCTAATAAGTAAATCATTTAAAATGCCTTAGACTTGATTTATGCTTAGCTAACTAAGCTGTCTTGGGGAATATCCCTAATACAGCTGTCTTCTATAGCTTGTTGAGCAAATTAAACAGCGAATTGCGTTTGTTAACGATTAAGATATGATTATAATAAAATAATTTATTGAATTTAATAATAATATATTAAATAAATTACGTAAAATTAAAAAAAAAACTAAAAAAGAAAATTAAAAATTTAATAAATTAAAAAATTAAAAGATAACTCTAAACAGGCTTAAAATATATATTATATATTCTATACATATATATATAAACAATATTTTATGAAAATATAATGCATTTATTAAGAATCAATTTATAACAAAAAATTTGAATTTATTGAAAATAATCTTTAGTTTTTTTTAAACAAATTAAATGACAATTGTTTTTCTACTACCTTCAGATCATTTAGCTCTTAGGCCTAATCAGTATATGCAAATTATAAGTGTTGCCCATCTTTTAATATTTACATGTATATAACAGCTACAGTGCTACCCATCAATATTTTTACAGCTCCACAGCGAGCACATGCAGGCTGTATATAAGTTATGAGTGGGCAACACTTCAAGGACAGTGCTGCCCATCAATACACACACGAACTGGCATATGCAATCATGTGAGTTGAAGAGAGATAAACATATTGTAGTTGCAGCTAAATTAAATAAAATTGCGTTTTCTTTGAAGCAGTTCTGCAGCTGCATTTGCATTTTCTTCAGTTTACCTCGTTGCTTTTTTAGAATAGAAACGCAATTGCGCAGCTGGCGGTGCATAATTACCGCTATAAAGAGAAACCGCATAGTGGTTCTTCTAAGTGGGCCATAAAACAAACTTTTTACATACAAAAGTTTTGTAGGCCTGCAGAATTAATGTGCAAAAGGCACGCACCACGAATGTGAGGAAGGATAATGCGGACGAGTGTGGCTGTCTCTGTGTGTGTGTGTCTGTCCTTAGGGCAGGGATAAGAAGAGTTTTGGGCACAAGGCGTTGCTGCAGTGCGCCAAAGTTTAATGAAAATTTGATTAATTTGATTTGATTAATTGGCCAGCTCTCATAAATCATTAATAAACATGCAGCATATTATTGGTGGCATCGAGCCACATTAACTCGAGGCTAAACCAGCTAAGAACGCGCGAGCCTTTCGCTCTGCCTGCTGCCCCAACTCTTCACACACAAGGCTTGACAAATGGCATTCTGGGTGGCAGAACGTGCCGAGCTGGGTAGGAAGGAAGGATGGGGGAAGGGAGGTGAGGCTAAATATTTTCGTAATTACATTTCCACGTAGAGTAATTAATTTTGTCTCGCTTTGCTTGTGCCTCTCACCACTCGCCACCCGCCTTGCCACTGCTGCTGACATTTGCCATTGTGTGTTGCATACTTCTGTGCGCTTTTTCTGCTGTCGTTAAATGTCACTAAGCTCTGGATTAGTTGCAGCCCGCACACACTCGCCTTATTATTATTATTATTATGTTTTATTATTTGATGAGCGCTTTAACATGTTTCGGTCACAATTCTCATATAATTTTCTTAAGCTAAATCTGTTTTATTGCTCGGCCTTTTCTGCCCCCAGGGACACACACACTCAGACTTGTTCTGGCGCACGTAGAGCTGAAACCATTAAAACCTTTTGCTGGCTACTTAAGTCCTTTGTCGCAGGTAGCCCCAAAAATATTGTGGCATAAATTATGCAGCTAGGTGGCCATAAAACTGACTCACATGACCTGTCAAATGTCAACGTGGCGTATGTGTAATTAAGCTTATGCGACGGCTTGTAGCTTGGGCTCCGACTGCAATACAATTTCATTTAAAATTAATGCAGGTTTTTATATTTATTTAGAAAAGTCTAAATATGAAATGTAACTCATTTTGAGCTGACAATTTGCTTTTGAAGAGTTTTCCAAGTGTAACTAAGTCGAACTAGCTGTTCTAATAGAGCAACTTTATGTCAATTGCTGCAAGCTGCTATTAAATTGTGGTTGGATGTAGTTTAGAGAAAATAGTTGTGCTAATTAGAATGCTAAGATATGTTGATAATTGAGCTGCTTTGGCAAAACTATAGAAAAATATTTAAAAAAATAAAAGAACTTCTAAAAATGATAAAAAATATATATATTTGCGCAATAAATATGAAAAATTATTTTTATAAATTTTTTTAAGTTTAGTTAGCACTTTTTTTCTTATAACTAAAATTTGTCTTTAATTTAGTTTTGATGTCACTCTGTCAGCTGCCTGTTGCCCAAAAAAAACCTTATTTGGGGAAACAAACATCTTTTCTATGGTATTAAATATAATTTTTAGCTGAATATATTTTGTAATTTGTCGTATTATTTGTGTTGGATACGAGGATTTTTATACCTGAGAGACTCAGACACCGTTGTCACATGTGCGACAACATAATTTGTTGTTAATGTACTCGGGAGTCGCTACTTGACCAGCAGCTGACACACGCACACACGCGCGCAGCATGGACAATTTGCTGACATTTTTAAAGTCCAGTCCGACACATAATTAACCCAATTAGAATGTGTGTGTGTGTGTCAACGCTAAGCTAAATTTATGTGAATTTTTAATTATGTCGGAGCTAGGAAAGAAAGGCATCCTATGCTGGCTGGGTGCTTGGCTGGCTGGCCGCAAACCAAACAACAACAGAGAGCAGCAGAACAAACGAGCTGAACCTGCTCGGCAGCTGGGTTAAATGAAAAACGTAGTAAACTGTGCGGCAAAACACCTGAGGATTCACCATGGCTACCAAAGCGACCAACAATGAGTGGCTAAGTGGCTACTGTTCTAGCTGCAGCTCCAACTCCAGCTTCAGCTCCAGCTCGTGCGGCTCCTTTAGCTGCTCTGCAGCTTGTTTGGGGGTTTGAGCCTGGCAGCTTTTTGCCATTTCCGGACGTGTCTTTTGTTTGCACGTTTACCTTGGCCATTGTTGTTGCTGCTGCTGCTGCTTGTTGGTCTAACTGCACTGTGACTTTTTCCATCTGTGTGTGTGTGTGTGTGTGCTGCAACCGCAAATAGAAAGCAAAGCCTGCTGCGAGCGAAGCTGTGGCAAAAGTTTTAAGCAAAATGTTGCCAAGTGTTTAACATTTTGTACGGTGTCAGTTGCTTCCTCTACTCGTGTGTGTGTGCGCACCTGAGGGACACAGACACCTGCAAATGAACTTGCCCTGCTAGGCTAAGCGTGCGGATAAATGTAAATTAAACAATGTTCAAGGGCCACAGCCACTGGCTGGTCGGGGCGACCAGTCTGCCAAGCCAGATGGCACACGTTTTAACTGGCGTTGATTTTTGACACACCCAAGTGGCCCTCTGTGTGTGTGTGTGTGTATGGGAATAACTATTGCGAGGTCTGCTTAAGGTATTAGATGTGTTAAAGTAGTTTTGTAGCTTTCGTTTAAGCGCAATTTTTACAGAGTTTCAGCTACAGAGAGCATTAGAGCAGAAGCTTTGGTGCTTTAATTGAGCTTTAAGTTACTTTTTAGCTTTTATCTAATATATTTTCTTAAATTTAATATATTAATTATTAATATTATTAATATTTGATGAGTGTTAATAGCGAGCTTTAAGTTAAATCAGATGTGTTCTATATGTTTTCTAAAACTTAAGTAAATTATCTGTTTCTAGTGAGCTTTTTAGCATTAACTAAATTAAGATTTGCAGATTAACCCAAACAAAATGAAAATAGTTATTAAATTTATCAGATGAGATTCGTTATTCAACTCTCGCAGTCTCCTGTAAATTTTGTGACAGCCCTCGCCTGTATGCATAGCCTTTTGGTGGCAACTTTTTAATAATTTATGCCAACCCGTTCAATTTAGTTAGGTCCGTCGACAAATGTGTTCATATTTTGGGGCGTTGATTTTGATTGCGAATTGTTGTCTGTTCATTTATGGAATTTCATTAGCAACTCGCCTCGCTGTGTCCAGCTTAAAGCGAGTGCGGAGGATGCTCGCATGTGTAAGCCAAATTAAAAGCAGTCCAAGCAGACAATGATATAAAAATTTATGAGCCACATTTGTTTTTTGCAACTAAAGTCAAAGGACAGCTAAAGCATTTATGGGTGCAGGACACAGCACGAACAGGAGACAGATAGCAGTGCTCCCTCTCTCTCTCTTCCTCTGTCCTTTTCTCTCGCTTTTGGTTCAAGGATAATCATTCAACATCGCGTGCCGCTAAAATTTCAAGGAGTGTGTATGTGATTTTTATCATGCAAACAGCCGGAAAATGAGCTAAAAAAGTGCTAAATGAGTAAGGTAAATGAAATTACCTGAACGAACACACCTCAAAATTGGACACACACTGTGCGAGAGAAAGAGAGAGAGGGAGGGAGGGAGTGTGGGTGTGTGTGTGTCCAGTTGTGCGTGTGTGTTTGTATTTCCGCTTTGCCTTTGACAGCATTGCGTGTGTGCGAGTGTGCAAACTTTTATTAAAGAGCGGAAATTACAAATTTGTCCGCTGCTAATGGATTTCCATTTCAATTTGCACGGCTTTCGACTCGAACGCATTTGCAGCACTTTAAGAGTTTTTTTCTGAGTAGCTCACGAAAATTTATGCAGCCTCAAAAATGTAGCCAGAAAATTTAATTTTCCTCACTTTGTATTTTCTATTTTTTTTTGGGCATTTGTTGTCGTCGTCCTTGCCACAAAACGCTAACGACTACAAAATTGCAAGAAAATTACCCGTTAATGTCCAACATTTATGGCCGCGACTGGAAGACGCTGTGGCAAAAGCCAGACATGGGCTCCAACTGCACTCTAGCCAAAAAATTCTTATATATATGTGTGTGCATGTGTTTGTATATATAAAGAAAGGCAAAACTATTATGGCCCTTGTGCTTATTACTTGCTGACATGCAAACACTTGCGCTCTCTGTCTGGCCAAACTATGTCTCCTCTCTTCACTTTTCAACGGCTGTCCGCGCTGATGCCAAGGACAAGGACATGGCGAGCTGACTTTAATTCGCGTGGGTATATACCTATATATATTACTGTATTGGGCTTTAAGCACACCTGACATTAAATATTTAAGTTATTTTGGCATTTAATTTCGAACCACCATAAATAATAACATGACACATATCAGCCTTAATTTATAAGCACAAATCGAAAAAGTAAATAAAATTGCTTTTCAACAAACTTAGCGAACCTGACACACATGTCGAGCAGTCATTAATAATGTAGCTGGATGCCACAGTCAAGTGGTTCACAATGAAAATCGACTGTCGAACCACAGTCGTAGGGTGGCTGAACCTCTGGTGACCAAGTGGAATGTCAAACGTGCCGCTTGCCACTGTCAAAGTAAATTTATGCACCCACCACGCTCCATGTGGTGGGGTGGTTGGGTGGTTGGGGTGGCCGCTATACGGAATTCCAAGCAGACTAAAAGTATTTTCTAGTTACGTCCAATGTCTGCTTTGCTGTCTGCAACTAATTTCAATATCATCAAAAATTAATTTCACTAATTCGATTAGAGGCACATTTTCCTCCACAAATATATTAAAGCTGCACCGCTCGAGTGTGTCGGGTGTGTGCGTGTGTGTTGCCTATTGTGCGTGTGCTGATGCTCTTCCTCATGCTCTGCATTCATTAATTTAAGTCAGCTCTCATTGTAACTTCTGACTTGGTCCAGTACGATGTGGCAATGGCGTGTGCGTTGCCCTGAAATGTCGATAATATATGGACATTAGCTTCATGATGGTTCGTAAGACCGTTTTTATGCAAAAAGCTAATTGCCTAAATGTTGCCACTTAAGAGGTTCCCAAGCTCAAAGAAAATGAGAGAAATTCAAGCTTCATTTTGGACAGATAACATTTGGTATTGAAACTCTCAGCCCGGATTGATTGCTCATCATACATAGGCCTCATATTTTCAGAGGTAGAGCTGGTGAGTGTCGACGAGGGGTCGCGAGTTCGATCTAGACTCTTGGCCTTGGCCATATATCTCTATCTGTCGTTTCCTATATCATTTTCATTTTGTATCTATTTTCTATATTTGTTCGATCTCTTTATAAAACTCTCTATCTATCTACATTTTTTCTTTGTTGCCTTTCCTCATTAATTTTGTCGCTCTCTCTTTTCTTTGTTCTCTTCTCAGACCCTTTTTCCTTCTCTCTATATTTTATTTTTTTTTTTCTCGTACTCTCCAACGGCCTCTTCTTCTCTGTATAGTTTCATTGTCCTTCTATGCTCTCTCTCTCTTTCTCTAATTGCTTCTGTCTCTCTCTCTCTCTATGTCCCTCTCTCTCTATATATATATATTTATATTTTCTTTGCCCTGTGCTTGTCTCCCTCTCTTTCTTTCCTTTGTATCTCGTTCTCACTTCGATGCCCTTCTTTCTTACTGTCTGTCTCCTTCTCTTAAATTCTTTCTTATCATCCTTCTCATTCACTTCGCTCTTGCTATTGCCTCAAGTCTCATCTTTAATAACATGAACTTTAACCCCTCTGTTTACACACACCTCTTGTGGACTGAGCATTTAATTAGGTTTAAGGAATAAACTCCAGCTTAAAAAACATATATGCAAAAAATGAGAAACCTTAATAGCGAATTACACACAACATTTGAGAAACATTTGGGTTTTCATTTAAGAAGTAAAGAATAATATGCTTATGCAAATGAAATCCCAGGTAAAAGACGTGCCACCTGGCCTCCTTCTGCTTCAATTGGGTTTTTTCTTTTTATTTAATTTGGCTTTATGGGCGCAGCCGCGCCTTATTTCATTTCAAGCAAACAAAGAGCAAAGCCAAATAAAAAGTAAAAAATAAATGTTTTTGCCTCATGTGTGTGTGCGTGAAAAGGCATTTGTAAAAGCCAAATGGAAGCCAAGCATATTCACATCAAGCGCCAAAAGTCACGAGTGAAGTGGCGGGTGTAGGATGTAGCGGGTGTGAGGCCGAAGTAACTTCAACCCCAGACCCAATCCTCAGACCCTCCTGCTCTGCTGCGAGGCAAACGTGCGCTTGCTTTACACTAATTGTCTTTGCTGTGCGTGCGTGCGAGCTGTAAGGGTGTCTCCGTGAGTGTGTGTGTGTGTAATTGTGGTTGTGTGTGCATATATTTAACGGATGTTTAGCTACGCGTATGCGGCAGTTGCCTTTTATGGCCACTCTGTACGGCAGCCTCTTTCGAAAGAATTCCAAAGCAACTGTGAATTCTTCACCTGCAGCATTATACGATGCATGCACATATATTTATATGCACATTGTTGCACACCTGGCCAATTATGCACACTATTTATAAGGCAAATGCAATATCATTATACGCTTAATGATCAAAAATACATTTTAATAAAGGCGCAGCAGCTAGCGTTTCGCTATGTCAGACACTTCCGTTCGCTTGACTCAGCAAAAAAACCCAAAAAAAAAAAACTATATATATATATATATATATATATATATATATATATATATATATATATATATACAAGTAAGAACGCTCTAGTCGGAGGTGACGGACTATGAGATACCCTGAACCTTGTCCGATTTGTTTTTTTTTTAATAAATACCTTATAATTTCAGTATCTATCGTGTGGCCAAGGCCCAGGGCCGAGATCGAACTCGCGACTCTTCGGCGTCGCTCACCATCTGAACTTAAACTTAATGTATTTTTTGGGGAAATTGGGAGCTGATACCCAAAATGTAAAAAAATCAAAATTGTATAAATTATACATGAATCTAAATGCAAAATTTGGTGCTTCTAGTCACAAAGACGTACGAGATATAGACTAATATTAATATTAATAACGGTTTCAATCGATAACATTGAAATGGGAATAGTTATCGATAATTTTAGCAAGACCTAGAACCAAAATTTTAAGTTTTTAGCTTTATAGGTTCATACGACTTAACTCGTCATCCTGAATATAAAAAAGAACTTTTATCTTACTCTGAATTCTCCTTACCCATGGGTTCAGGGTAGAGTAAGACATCTATGTATTAGATGTAGCGACTTATGCACGTGTGTGTATGTATGTATGTGTGTATGAATGTATGCATATTCCAATTTATTTACGCCTGCACTTAGCGGATGTCAATCAAATAACTCCAACTGTGAGAGACGCCACAGGATTCGGTTTATGGTCGGTTGTTGCTTGTTTGTCATTCTCGTTGCCAATTAAAAGTCGCCAAGGCAATGGGACAGTGGTAATAAGGCAGCACGGCAGGATAACAAGTCACTCACTTGCTCAGTCAGTCAGGCGGGTGGCGCAGCGTGTGGGCGCTCGCATGTCCTGCCAAACTAAATTAATTGCAGTCCTGCCTACTCCCCAAATTCCTGTAGCTGATGTGCAAATTAACATTACAATAGCAATAAGAATAAGTGCTGCAGCTCCATGCCTAAAACTTGCGTAGATTAATCGGCCTGATTAACCACACGCATACCGCACTATATAGTATATATATATAACATATATGTACAATTCGCCTTAAGTCGGCTTGCCTATTCCTGATGCAATTATTTTGAATGACTTTTGTAAATGATATTTCCGTTGAATTTGTGCATACATATAAATACACATACGTATATAAGCAGCCGACAGCCTACCTTGGAATTTGTGTGATAGTATTTATTGCAGTATTTATATTTAGTATTCTTTCAACTTCAGGTTCGTATATCAAAATTCAATGCAACCTTGCGTTTTTCTATCGATCTGCTGTTCCTACGACACATCGTTAAAGTTTGCGCAGCTGATCAAAATCAGCTGACGTAAAAAAATCGTTTTTATAGTAATTTGAATTCGCCAGAGGCGGGCACTGGATCAGCACGTACACTGTTTTTGTAACTCTCGAAAGAACTTAACTGCTCGCTTAACAATGTCAAATACATTTATATGACAGAGCTTACTGAACTTGATAAGCTTTGCATGTCTCTAGAATTGTGATAAAACTGCACGCACCGTTCTAAACATTCTAAACATTGATATAAAGTGTATAATATACATTCAGAAACACCAAATTTTGCACATAGATTCATATATAATTTATACAAAATTAAAAATACATTAAATCTAAGTTCAGTAGTAATGCTTTCATGAAGAAACCAATTTTATGTATGTATGTTTATTAGCCATTATCTTATATTATATTACTATTATTTTCGCCTTCATAGTGAATCAAAACATAGTATAATGTCATCAGTTAAAATATCGAGCGAGTTGAATATTTTGAAATTGAATAACGATTGCCTTGGTATCATACTCAAGTACTTGGACGACTCTTAGTTTTATGCTCGATTCGCGCAGCTTAAAGCACATACAATGTTTGGAGAGACTGTCATTAGATGTCAAAGTAGCTGCCGAAGATCTTCGGGATCTATGGCTATACGAGGTTGCTGGAGAGCTGAGCGATATTGTGCCGCATTGTCAGAACGTAAGGGAAATAGCCTTTTCAATGCTCAACTCACATGAGTCCTTTGCAAGTCTTGCGGAGCTACCCAACTTGAAGAAACTTATCATCAAATCCACAAATGCAACTTTATCTTGTGCTAAGCTTTTGCAGCTTCTCAATGCATTAAATGCCAATGAAAGTCAATTAGGCAATTAGTTTGATATTATTCTCTAGCTTGAATTTTGAACAGACAGCCAAAATAATCAAATTGAAATCGTTGAAAGAACTTCGCTGTGCTTTCGAGGACGCCAGATGCATTGATCTCTTGACCGATCTGACTGAACTTGAGGTGCTTTACATAATGCTGGATAGTGGTGGAACTTTTGGCAAAGAGTGCCTTAACATTCTCAGATCTTGCAGAAAAAGGCCACTTCTGCACATAAATGCAAATCTCTCAACAGACTTTCTAGGCAAGGCGTTGCAAGTTTTGGAAAAGGTGCGAAACGTTTACAAGCAAAAGCCGCTATTATTATATTTCATAATCGTAACAATTAAGTCTTTAAAATGCCTCGCATATTTCAGCGCTGATTTGATATATGGGCTAGCGAATAAGCGAGCCATGCTCTCGACATAAATCATCTAGACGAAATAATGATGCATTAAAAATAACAAACAACACAGACGCTGGCAGCGTTGCGCCAAAGGCGTTTCAGTTTGTGACGTCACACTCCCGACACAAAAAATTTGAACGAATTTGAATGCCTTTTGTCAGTGCGAAATGAACTGCGAAAGTAAGTGCGCCTCAGTTTTCCCAAAGATCTCAGCCTACACCTGAGCTACATTTATATTATTTTATTTTTATTTATTTATTTTTTTAGTGCTCTTTGGCCAATTGCCAGGCGTATTGTGTACGTTTGTCGTATTTTGTAATTGGTTGCAATGGCCCAGCGCTACAAAAAGAAGCAAAGAACAGACCTTAAAGACCTTTACATCTACGACTATTCGATACCCTGAACTAGCTTTGATATGTATATGTGCCATATATCAATGTGAGTCGGAAATCTTGCACTCATTTGTCAACAACTTAGTCATACTTTAACTATATTATCTCATTTTTAAAGATATTTCTATAATTTTCATATAAATTTATATTATTATTGCATTCTCTGGAATACTTTTAATATTTCATTATTTAGAGTTAATTTTTGTTGGTACAGAATTTGGCAATGAACCAAAAATAAGCGGCCACAGCAACAGCAACAACAACAACAGCAGATATGTACAGGTGTGAAAAGTCTGTGATCAAAACGTCGGAAAATTCAAGTCGTTGGCGATTGGCTCGTTTTCTTTGCCCTTTTATTTATACTCAATTTATTTACAGAAGAAGAGAGCTTAAGCTCAGCTAATTGCATTTAAAAGTCAGTGAGTGGAGCAATCAATGTGGTTTAACCTTTAAAAAGTTGAAAAGTCAACGTTAAACAGATTGCCCAGCGCACGCATCGTTTTAGCCACGCCCTCAGTGTGTCAAACACGCTAATTTACTGTTACATTATTTACATACACACACACACACAGCGATAAAACTGAAAGGTTGTCACTTTGGAGGCGTTAGGCGGTCGCTCGTTTCACGGCATTTGCCGTAGAGTGGGTGGCTGAACACACACAATAAGAAGAAAAACACGAAGAATAAATACAACATCGACGAGGAGGTGGCAACAGGGCGCATGAGCAATGCCCTTTCTGCTGGCAACATGTTCGAAATGTTGTCAACCAAAATAATGAACACTTAACAAATAGCAAAAATTATAGTTAGTAAAATATTATATTATTTTGAAACAAAACGAACATCTAACACTATACATATTTATGGCCTAAACGATTCCTATTCACCTATTTTGTTGCAAAGAAAAAACTAACTTAAAATGTTGCTAAGCTATGCACTGGCAACATGAATAGGATCCACAAAGTTTCCCGCCAATTGCAGGCCAAGCCGAAGTGTATACACACATACACACACGCACTAACATATATATATATACACTGGCAGTGGCAGTAGCAACCCCGAAAAGCCGCAAAGCAAACAAAGCTGTGATGGGGGTGGGGCCGACGAGTGGCTAGCGCTTGGGTTGGGTTAGGTTAGTCGTCACCTGACGCTCCATCGGCTGCCGTTTCGTACAGCAAAGAGCATCAAATCTGCTCCAAAGCTTAAGCCCAAACCAAAAGCCGGCAACTGACTAAACCCTCGGCTAGCCGTCCCGCCGCCGTCCGTCATCCACAAGCAGAAGCCCAACATACAGAACTGTTATTTACATTTTGTTTTGCCGGCTTTTCAGCTATACACGAAGTGGCCAGCCGAACCAAGCGCCATCGCGAGCCGAAGGCGTGCAGCCCTTCGGCTTGTCGCTCGTTTCGCGTTCGCATTTGCCAGTGCCCGTTTCCGAAACGTTTCGAACAGCGCATCAGTTGGCAACGGCCTGTACGCTAATACGGACGTTAGTTTCGCACGTCATTTCCCTTCAAGCACACACAAATTTTTGAATTTTAAAATTTTTGAATTCTGAGCTGCTTTCTGTGTGTTATTTTCAGTTATCGCGATTTGCGTTCGAAGTGTGCAATTGGTGCAAATCATTTTGTGCAATGAATTGAGGAAATAGCCTGCGCGCAGCCAAACGAAACCAAAACAACAACCAAAATTAATAAAAGAATAGAAAAGTATGCAAAAGAATTACAATTTTGAAAAGCAAAAAGTGTTAAACATTTTAAAATTCGCTGTGTGTGAAAAATCTACGTGTGTCTGAAACTAAAGCCAACAGCTGATATGGCGCAAAAGGTAAATTTCTAGGCTACAAAAAAAAACGAAGAAAATTGTCAACAGCAAATGTTAATTAAAGACAGGCGCAAAAAAACCAAAAAAAAAAAAAAATAAAATAAAACCAAAAATGAAAAATTTAAAAAAAAGAACATGGAAAATGTTGTTGAGGCTGCCAGAGCCAATCTCATCCATCACTCAATTGCCTGTTCAGTAATTTGAACAGTTTTTTGTTGACTCTTCTGCTCGCCCTGCCAGCGACAACGAATAGTTCTCTATTTATTTTTATTTTTATTTTCATTTTCATTTATTTTTGCTTAAACAACTGTGCATTAAATTTAATTTTGAAATTTTAATTGAGAGAAATACGCCACAATGCACATGTGTTTGTTTTTGCTGCTGCCTCTGCTGTTGTTGTTGAATTTGTTATTGTTATTGTATTGTGCTCCATTGCGTCAGTTCCCCATTTTTGTAGTAGGCAAGAGCCCATCGTCTGGTCGTTAGCGATAAATAATCAGCAGCCGCTTTGATTTGCGTCTGCTGCCATAAATATTTATGCAACTGGACGCACTTGTTTAAACAGACACACGGCCGGACGGATGGACGGACGGAGGGGCAGACGGACAGAGAGCACTTCATAAGTATCTGTGACGGTTCGATTGATCCGTCATGGCACAATTATGTTGCCATATCATAAATGAAATTGTTTACGACCTGGCCACGCCCACACAATTAAAACTTTGATATTTGAATAGTCGGCATAGAGATATATATATATATATGCATACATGTATATATATATCCTTATATAGCTTAACATTGTTTTGATCTTATCAGCTGAGGCGCCTCTTTCTCTCTCTCTCTCTCTCTTTCTCTCTTACCTAGCCTCAGTCTCATTGTTCTGGTTGCATGTTGAGGCTAACAAAATAATTGACAAAACAAATCATTTACGTGGCAAAAAGTTTTTGGTTAAACTGCAGCACACGGCGACGAAACACGCAACGCGACTAACTGACGACATCGGCAAGGGCTATATATATATATATTTATATATATATATATGCTCATAGATGTATATACATAGCCCAACAATGGCAAGCAAGACAATGTGAATTCCAATGTTGCAATCTGTCTATGTGACTGTGTGTGTGTGGTAGAGGCGAGTGCAATTTGCAATTTGTGGCATAAACGCAAATTCAACGAATTAAAGTGCCAAAATTTGTTCTACAAATATTCATAAATTAAATTACAAATGTTTTACGCTTTTCATGTTAAATACACATCAAACATATATAATACATAGCACAGTTATAGGGCTGCATTTGGTGTTCTCATAAATAAAAGCCAAGCTTCAGACCTTGATCAATTTATAGGTAGACAAATTTCTTTAAAATATTTTTTTTTTTTTTTTTTTTTTTTTTTTTCGTTTTTATTTCTTTATTTTGTTGCAGCTTATTGTCTTAGACTCTATAGCGCATTTAGCTCTAAACCTTAACTAATGGGAGGGCAGATATGCCAATTATTCTGCACTTGTAGCTACTATCTTAATTAGTTCTAATATTGTCTAGAGGATGCAATCTCTTCAGTCTTCGCCTATTGTTGTTTATAGCCAGGTTGCTTGCGAGATGGTTAGGATGCGCTGCAAGTCTGTCCGCGTATCTTGAACTGTGTCGCCCAATGAGTTCAGCAACTGTGGGAATTGCTAAATCCCTATGTAAGACTGAGTTTCTTACAAACCAGCTGGCTCCAGTCCATCTGCGTAGTGCTTTATTCTGCAGGGTCTGAATTTTGTTCCTTGTAGTCTTCGCCGAGGAGCCCCATAGAGAGATACCATATACGAAGGTTGGGACAACTATTGCCTTGTAGATGGCGGCCTTGCTGCTGTAAGACAACTTGCTTGAAGCTCTCAGCATCCAGTCGAGGGTTTTTAGCTTGCTTTTGCATTTTGAGGTTACTTGACTTATGTGCGCTTTAAAAGTCAGCCTTCTGTCTTTAAAATATTATAGACTTTATTTTATTGTAATCAATTCAGATGTGTTATTAGTATAGAAGATTTCTGAAATTTGACTGGATAAGTTTTAGGGATAATTGTCACTTGATCGATCTTAGATACTTTCGAATTCTATTCAGTTTACTAAATTCTTCGTATAAATTTGAACAGATATAAAGCAGTTTTCATTGTTTCCTAATACAACTGACCTCTGTCCCAGCTCAGCTGACTGAATTCCCCAAACACCCAGAGCACACTCAGCAAGCTATTCACAGTATTTTCCTCTTGCTTAAAATATTTGTACATTTTCGAGCATTTCTTGATCATTTCATTATATTTCCCCCAATTTAATGCTCATTAGCAATAAATTGAATCGACTTCGCTTTTAGCTCTTAGCTAGTTCCAAGAGCTGAACTGTTTAACTAGTTCCAAGATTCGAGCCTGAATCTCTTAGCTTGTTTACTATAATTCTATAATATATACAAATTGAGCATATTACACATACGCAGCGTGTTACACATACGCCGCGTGTGCTCGTTTGCATTTGAGCAATGGTTAATAAATTTAATTGTGTGTGATCTGCTGCTCCTGCTTCTTCTTCTTCGTTTTCATCTTTTATTTGATGTTCTCTGTTTTCATGCGAAGTCTTTTCGATTAGTGCGAAAACATCTGGCCGTCTAGCATTTGAGGCAATAAATCTGATCGCATTGACTGGCGCTTAGTGCCGAAATAGATGAATGTTAACTCTGTCGAAAAATGTGTCTAAAAATCATACAAAAATTGCTTTTAATTGGCTAAATCAGTCAATTACTCTCGGCACATTTGCCGACTCGATACAAAACTTTTGGCCACAATTTAAATTACATTTGGGGAGCGAAAAAAAACCGCAAATTTTTGTCGTCTGTGGCTGGGAATTTCAAGGGTGTTTATTTGGTTTGTGGCTTACAGTCGATTGCCTGATTTACACACACCACACACACACATTTATATATATGTATAGAGTCAACATGTTAACAAGTTAACAAGCTGTTAAACACACTCCACGAGCGCAATTTTTATTGCTAAAAATCCGCACATTTATTGCTATTAGTTTTTGGTTATTGGGTGGCAAGGACCCCAAATGGCTCTAGGCCTGATAAATAGCTTGCCTGCCTCTCGACTTGTTTATCAAAATCGAATAGCACACGCTACAGGCGCCTCACAGCAGGCAATTGCCATTTGATGGTTTTTCTATAACGCTAATATAATAAGTATTATTAGGAACAATAGTCGTAGTTGTGCGAGATATAAATGTGAGGATTGAATTCTTTATGGCTATGGTACAGAAAATGCCAATGAAAAGCTATACAAATTTTAATTGCGCTATAGAAACTCAAGTGTCATTTAAATACATTTATTTCATATTTATTTTAAAGCACTTTTTCATGCCATTTTCATTTGGACTTTGCGAAATCTTTAGGGTCTCAAGTGTTGGATTTTTATACTTTTATTAATCACATTTAAAGATGAGTTTCTATCATTTCTTATCGTATATATCTAAGATTTAATTGAATTATATATTTTAGATTTAATTGAACTCATTGTAATTGGTCTCGATTTATAGGTATATATATATATATATATATCTGATATATTTATGGCTTTTAGTGATTTATAGATTTTATTATTATATTTTTGGCATATGTGTTTTTATAGATATAGTTTTTGAGTGATTGTAGTGCCTCTCTTTCTCTCTGTCTCTTTCCCTCCTTCTTTCTATTAATATCTTTTACTGCACCCTCTTTCTATTTTTCTCCCTAATTTACTTCTTCTCTCTTTCTTTTCGTCATTCTCATTCTCATTGTATATTTATCATTATCTCTCCTTTCTTAGTCTATCCTCTTCTCTGTCTTTCTCCCTCTTTCTGTCTCTCTTTTTCTTTCTCTTCTCATCATTTAGCCTAGATTCTTTCTCTTCTTCTCCTGCTCTCTCCTTCAGTCTCCCATTCTGTTTCCTTCGTGTTGCCTTCGCACGTATACTTTTATGTAAATTGCTGAGAATCTCATAGAAAGGCGCTACACACTTCGAATATTTACTCAATAGTCAGCTATAAATGCCTTTGTGCTGCTACTGCTGCTTGTGCTGTCCTTGGTAACAGGTGCTTCAACGCGACGACTGGGCAAATAAATAGACTCGCTTATAAGTTTATATAACTAGGAAATAGTTTACGGCCGGACAGAACTTTATGGCGTTTTAATTGTTTTTCTTTTGGTAGCAAGGTGAAAACGCTTTTGGCTTCGCTGAGTTTTCTGCTCTCTCTGGATGGTCGGGGTCAGCATCTGCCTTCCAGTGTCGACGCCAACTCTGTCACTTAGCCAATCAAGTTTTCCTCGCAGCTGTGGCTTGTTTATTTATGTGCGCCTAATTTATATTTTTCTCTTTTCTGTAGTCTGGTTAGCTGCTTTTGCACGCTGGTCCGCTGCTCCGTTGCTCCCAATTGTAATAATAATATATAAAAATTTCAACGGCTTTGTCATCGTCGCCCCGCTGGGCGCTATAATTACCCAGAAGAGATGAGAAATACTTAGACGCACACACAGTGGCAAATCGCAGGCACATTACCTGCGCATATTTGTGCAGTTACAGCATCAGCATCAGCATTGGCACCTGGCCCCGCACATGACCTCACCTGCTGCCTGCTGCATCATCAAAGCAGCCGTCGCATTAACTTTGCATCTAAACAGGCAGCCAAAAGCCAAAAGCCAAGAGCCGTTGCAGCTATTAAAAATCAAAAAAAGAAAAGAATTTGAAACGGAAAACGGCCAAATGGAAAATTCCAAGCATATCAAAACCATTTGGGCCACAATTACAATTGCAATTTCAATTGCAATTGGCGAATTGGCGAATGCGAATCGCAGGTGCTGAGCTGCTCGCTAATTTATGAGCCGTGCATTGCGGCCAATTGTAACCGTAAATTGGCACTTTGAATTATACAAGATGCCCAGCCACTGACCCCCTTCATAGAGACTCCACTATAGCCCGCCGTTTCTCT